TGGCTTACTGGTCCCATGGTCAGACACTCCTCACTGTAGCCTGGGTCAGACCTTGAGGTTCAAGAGAGCTCTGGCTACGGAGCAAAGAGAGCCCACCCCTGGGTGCTCAGGGTGCTGGGACACAAATGTAGGGGGGCATGGGTGTAACCTCCTGCCCAGGGGCTGCTAGCCCTGCCAGCATTTGGGGTCTTCACACAGCCTCAGGCAGCATGCTGCCAGAGGACAACGCTAGGACAAGCCCAGGGGCAGCCCAGAAGCTGAGGCTTCTCCTACACAGCTTCTGCCCAAGGTTCCTAAGCAGGACTCTCCCTGACATTAGAATTGGGGCTGTCTGCCAGGAGCATTGGTACCCACCACTGAGCTATCCTGAGCTGTTCCCACCGTGGGGGTTGATGTCCCCCAAGACCACCAGACCAAAGGGTCAACCACAGCAATCTCAGAGCTGATGGAGGCAGCTGGTGAACACCAGAATGAGATGAAACCACATGGAACTAGGACTGCAACCAGCCCAGCAAAACACTCAAGAGAGGATGGGGCTCTGGCCCACACCTGGGCGTGGCTCAGCATTGTGTATCTGGAGCCAGGACAGTACCTGACACCGGCTGGAGAAGCATCATCACATCACACAAAGCTGAAGAATGACATCACAGCATTGCTTCACAGGCTCCTGGTCACCTTTCAGAGTTCCTTCACTCTCCTGCCCCTTTCCTTCAGGTTTTATTTGGGAAGATGCAGGAAAGTGGCTGAAACTAGGCCTGAGACATCACACAGTGCAGAAAAAGGAGTGGATGAATGAGCTTAATGTCACCAGATTCAAAACAGAGAAAACGAATAGAAAAATTAAGACACTGAATCCATGAGACCGGGGATGGCATCAAAGCCCCTCTTTCAACCACAGAGGCAGTTGTTGGACAAACTGAAGAGGCTTCCAAGACACTCAGATTAATAACTACTCACGGGTTAGTAAAAGAGAAGTAAAGGAGTTGAATCCAGGCAATAAAAGTGTAAAATTAAATACAGTTTAAGAGGCAAGGTTTGTCACAGACACCACACAGTCCTTATACACATCTCTTCATGTCAGTGCTGAAGAGCACTCAGCAGAGCCACTCGTGATGTTCATGATGGTGGCCCAGGAGGGTAAATTTGGGAATTGCCCCAGCCTCCTCTTGCTCCACTTTCTTGCTCATGCAGGCAGCAAAGCTGGGGCTGGTGCCTCAGGAAATTTGGGCACTGTAAGCTCTCCGCAGTCCTCATGCTATCCTGGCACAGCCGAGGACCACCCAGGCATAAGCCCATCCATGGGCTCCGATCACAGTCCGAACCAGCCAGAGGAGAGCCTGCAAGTGAGCAGGCTATGGATAAATGCAAAAATCCCATGTCACAGACAGGCAGGCAGGTCACTAGAGGCCCCAGGGCAACCGTCACATCAGGGCAGCTGTTGCAATATCAGGCTAAGTCTTGGGATTCTCCAAGGGTGGAGATGCCCCAGCTCTCTTTGACTGTTCCAGGATCACTCTCCTGGGAAGGAATTTTATTCCAAGATTGAACCTGAATCTTCCAAGCTTCAGCTGGTGACTGTTTATCCCATTGCATCATTCAGCACCACCAAGAACGGCTCAACATCATGAAGCTATGTTAGGGGAAATTTAAGCTGATTAACAGGAATTAACACCCCAAGAAGCTGCTGGGCCCTGCCCAGGCTCCCCAGGGAATGGTCCTGGTCCCAAGCCTACCAAAGGTCCAGGAGCATTTGCACAGTGCTGCCAGGGATGCACAGGGGGGATTGTTGGGGTGTCTGTGCAGGGCCAGGAGCTGCACTGGATGGTCCTTGTGGGTCCCTTCAGCTCAGGGTATTCTGTGATTCTGTGACCTTGTTCACTGACTGTTCTCAGAATCCTACCCTCAGCCCAGCGCTGCCCCCTCCTCCTGGTGCAATGTGTGCCAGCTCCATGAGCATGGTGATATCCCTTGTCCAGGCCTCTCCAGTTTCTTACATCCCTCTTGAGCTAGGAGACCACATCTGGACACTTCCTTCAGACATCTGCCTGTGCCCTTCCCAGCAGCTCCCACTAAAGGCTTTGCCTTATTCTGAGGAAAAATAACAAGCTGATGTCCACCCTGAGGTTCTCTGCTGATTCCAGGGTCTTTTCAACAGTGTCCTTCCAGCTCAGACTCTTCCCATAATGTCCTGTGATGCTATCCATGTGAAGGACATGGATGAGGCATTGCCACCCCTATCAGGAAGGGCTAATGAATCTCTTTTCCAGGCATCCTGCGGGCTTTCTTCCCACCACTGCATGTTGGATACCTCTGACTGACAGCTCCCTGTGATAGACACCAGAGAGGAGGTCTTGTTCAGGGGTTCACAAATCAGCAGAGGCTGAAAACCATCCAATAATTTTCCTGCAGCTGTGAGTTCCACCAGGAAATGATGCATACTTGCTGTTCTGAGCTGCTTTTCAGGGCTGTTTTGGGCAGGCAGAAAACTTTGACCTCAAGGAAAAACCAGTTGAACCCAGTCATAATGTCGAGAAATCAGGTGTTCTGCTTCCCCAGAGACAGAGCAGGATCCACCTTCCCTGACAGACAGGTAGGGCTGTTGGTGACAACGGGGTGGCTTATGGCCGAGTAGAAGTTGTGGGAGTGGCTGTGATGGAGCCAAGCGCCCTCCGTCCCACCAGCATATCATCCATGGGATCAGATCAGTGACACTTTTGGCTTATCCTCTCCTCCACGAACACTGCAACACTGATTTTCTTCCCATTGCCTCCTGATTTCCCAAAGCAGAGAAGGGTCTGTTGGGTTGGACAACAGCACATGTTTTTGGCTTGGCCAGCGAGCAGCAATAAAAACCAGCCTGCTGCCAACAATTAATTTCCCGTTTCAGGCCATACCAAAAATAAACTCAGAAGGGAAACTCCAGTGAGAACGAAATACACAGGAGACAATCCAAAACTATATAGGAAATTTCTCTACAAGTGTTCACTAGGAAGGGGGACGGTGGTTTCAGAGGGAATTTCATGCTGGATGAGGGGTGTGAAGGGGTCTGGGCAGCTCCAATCAGGATTATAGGACTATAAATATATGTGCAGCTAACACTTCCTGTGGCTACATTATACATGGGGAAATGGCCATTTCCTTCTTTGCCTCACAAAGTGGATGTAGGGTCTTGACTGCCTTCCCCAGGACACTCAGGTCCAGCGCTGGCCACGCTAGGGACACTGAGATGTCCCCAGGCCTCGTGGATGATGTTCTCGTGCAGCCAGCATCCAGCTGGCACTGAGCTCTCCACTGCCAGCCTGCGTGGATCACCCCAGCTGAGACCCCAAAAAGGTGCAGTCACTGCAACACTGCAAACAATCATTTCCCATTCCTCACCACAGCCATCAGCAACCTCATCAACATCTCTTGGGGACAGTTGGTGTTTGAGGAGGGCTCTGGTGGTGTTTCAGTGGCAAGAAATAGAAGCCTTTTGCAGGCCATCAGCTGCTGCTGTTGTGCTCTCCCGGTGCCCAGCAGCTCCTGATGCAGGTAGCACCAAACCTACAGAGCCAAGGATGGGCACTGTGCTCTTGCGAGATGGCAGCTCCAGCATCGCCTCCAGCAGGAAGGAGAAAGCTGTGCCCCAGGGGTCCCTGTGAGCATGGGTGCTGGCTCTGGGACCGTGCACCACCAGCCTTGGCATGGCACAGACACCTTGATCCAGCTCCCGCAGCTTTGTCTTGGGATGGTGGAGCCTCTGGGTGGGTATTTGCAGCCTTTTCCCTCATAAGAAAATGGGGCAGGGGGGTGGGGTGTGGTTTGTCTCTGCACCCTGTGCCCGAGATGCCACAAAACACAGGACATTGATAAAAATACATACTCCAGGAGCATATGCACGCACACAAAAATATGTGTATATATTATATGCACAATTTTTATAAGTCAATATACATTTTGTATATACATATATTAAGAAAAATTTATTCCTGGAATGTATAGGAATGTATATTATATATAATTTATATATATGTATATAAATATAACATAATATAAAAATGTATTTGTATGCACTCCTATACACTCCAGGAGAAAATGGAGTATTTATTTATTATTTATTTTCATAGACACCCACACTCTCCTATATACTCCCACAGTACATGGTACATATATGTCCAAATATATAACATAGACTTATACACTTCTGTCATTTTGCGTCTACAGTAAGGTATATACAGTAAGGTATAAACACAAAAACACTTATGTACTTACCTGTTTTTCTGAGTCAGGAGCCGAAGGTGAGGATGTTGAGGAGAGCCTGAGCCTGCCCACAGCATCCAGGTGCCAGCCCCATCCCTGCTGGCATCATGGCAGTGCCCCCCAGGTACCTCTCAACACTGTGCCCACAGAGCAGGTTTTGTGATGCTGAATCAAACAAGTGCTGTTCTGCTGTACTTCCCTGAGGATCTGGGCTTCAGGGAGCTCCAGCACAGACTTGCAGGGAAGCGGGGCTGCAGGATATCTGGCAGGAACTTCACCTCCCAGCACCAGCCCAGCAGCAGCTCCAGGCTCTTCAAACAGGATCACTCTAAAGCCACTTTGTCCCCACCGATGGGCACTCAGGGCTGGGCAAAGCCACGGTCACCTTCTCTGCCCTGTCCTGCACTGCATTGCGTTCCGTGGGCTTCAAAGTGGGGATGCTCCTTCAGCCCACCGAGACCTCCAGGGCGGCTCTGCAGCCCCACCCGTCCCACCACGGATGGGGCTCCCATCAGTGCGTGTTCCGCGGGGCACAGGGCAGCGCCCCGAGGGCTGCACCGGGGAGGGGCTGCAGCCGCACCCCCGCTCGCAGGCATCGGCTGGGCATGCCGCACACCCTGCAAACCCACCCTGGCTCCGTTTTAGACTCTCCCTTAGCCATGGAGTAGTGGAAGTGTTTCCACGGCATCCAGGACCCAAATTAATCCCCGGCCGCAATGAGCTACGCAGAGCAAAGGGCATCTAACACACGGAGCCATCGCTGAGCAAATCCAAGAGCCTGAGCCTTTATTTCAGCCTCTGCAAGCATCATTTGGGAAAAATCCATATTTTTGCAGGGAAAGCACGAGGGCACTCTGTCCGAGGATTTTGAGCAGGAGAGGAGGAATAATCAGGTGGAAGTCAGGCAGAGGCTCCGGGTACCTAATTCATCCCCAGCCTGTGCTCCCGGCCGCATCATGCCTGCCGTGTTTAGTCTGTGTGGGAGCACAAATGAGTGCTCAATGTCATGGATCTGGATTTCATTAGGAGGCACATGATCGGCCCTGGCTGTTGCCGGGAGCTGCGCAGGATGCAGGACGAGGATCGGGGCGTGGGGCTGAATGGGCCCCTTGTCTACAGCAGAGAAGCTGCAGCCACCTCCTTGGGACTGGTGTTTTCTCCCCCTGAGAGGCTTGGAGACCCCGAAAATATCTTGAGGGGAAGGGGAAGGAAGGGCAGCCTGCAGCTGTCCCCTGCTCAGTTGATGACTGTAGGGGCGCAGCAAGGGGGACCCCAGGACCCATGCCTCTGCCCAAAGTCAGGCTGCAGACACAGAGAGACACGGATGCCAACTGGTCAGCCCCAGCCAAGGGATAGAAGGCTTTGGCTCCAGGCTGCTGCAACCCCTGCATACAGTCATATCCTTTATATCTCTTGCATCCCTTGTATCCTTTACATCCCACTGCAACTCTTACATCCCGTTGCACTCTCTTAATCCCTTGCAGCTTCCTTGCATGCCTTGCATTATTAATAGCCTGCTGCAGCCCTTTAAGCATCTTTTGCATCCATTACATCCCTTGCATCCTTCTCAGCTCACTGAATTCCTTATGTGAGCTGCATCCTTTGTGTCCCCTGCAGCCTGCTGTGACACTTGCACCCTGTACATGCTTTGCACTCACCCCTTGCAGCCCTATGGCCCCTGCACACAACTCCCAGCCAAGCCCACACATTTCAGTCTCATCTGAGGTCATTCTTGCTTACGAAGCCCTGTGCAATGACCTGGGAGCACCTGCACCGGCCAGCCAGGAGCCTCTCCAGGGGAAGCAGCTCCTGCCCCTTGCCCAGGCTCCCCAGGCAGGGTGTTGTCCATGGGGTGAAACAGACCAGTCACCTCACCTCAAACAGACCCGACACCCTTCTCTCTGCAGGTGGCAAAGACATGAGATGCTCCTGAGCTGCTGAGCCACAACCCACATGAATTTGACCTGGCTGAGAATCCATGTCTCATCCCAAGAATGATGTGCACACAGGACATATGGCTTCTCCTCTGAGTCCCCTTGGAGCTTGGCCCAGACAACCAAAGCCCGGACATGTTTGCCAACACGTTTCCAATGATGTACACTGCCCTTCCAGCCCAGTACACCTTGGTCTCCTAGCTACACCAGCAGCCAGCCAGCAGGAGAGCGTGTAGGCTTCACCGGGCAGCACCAAGAGCCAGTGACTACCTCGATCCAGGTCTTATTTTAGCTGCAGCTCAGGGGTGAAATTCCCGTTCAGATATTCAGCTCCAGAGGCCAGAGCAGGGGAAGCACTTTTACTCTGCAGTGTTTAAATTGGAATAAATCCGGTGAGCCTGAGGCTGAGGTTCTGGCAGTCCCAGCCATGCCCTCCCCTTGCCCAGGGGATGAGGTGAGGGCCCACAAAATGTTAAAATGGTCTGAAAAAGGAGGGGGCAAGGCTGGGGATAGGTGGAAAAGCCAGTGCGGTGGGTAACCACGCAGCCAGTGCAGGGTGGAGGCAGAGGGCTGCTGCTGGAGCCCCTACCCCAGAGGGCTGGTGGAGCTCTTAGAGGGTTCAAAGAGGAGTTGGAGGAGACTTGAGGAAAGCATCCAAGCCAAGCTGGCTGAGGAGAGACAGATCCAGCCTTGAGGAGAGGAGCCCCCCAGACCTGGCCCTGCAGGGGGGTTGCTGCTTCAGGAAAACCCTGGCTCCAGCCCTGGCTCCAGCCCTGGCTCCTGGCCAGGGACTAACTGCAGGCTCCGTGGCTTGGGCTAAGCTGCAGTCCTGTCACTGGCCCTGGCCATCTCGCTCCATACTGATGCCATGGACAGCAGAGCTGCTGTTGGGATGCTCGCCAGCTCTCAGCCCAAGGACCAGATGATGCTGACCTGTCCCTGACTCCACAGCAAAGGCAGTAAAGTTATGTTTGATGCAGAACTGGCAGTGCATTGGCCTCTTTCAGTGACAGCTGGCTACCCAGTAACACCAAACTCATCAAAGATTGGGGGGGGGCACTCCTGGCTCTGGAGTGGTGACTCAGAGCCATGGTGATGTGGCAGCTCTCCCAGGGACTCCAGGCTTGGACAGACATCTCCTGCAGGAAGGTGTGTGTTCAGGGTTCTTGGGGATTATTACCATGCACCAGGCTCCACAGACACTCCACTCCTCTTGTATTTCTTGTCCCCCTGCTTCCACCCAGCCTCCTCTGCACCAGCAGCATGAGAAAAGCCCCGCAGCCAATTTAGGGGCTCAAGAAGCAGCAGCAAGACAAGATCAGCCACAGATTCTTCTATGCTAAGTCAAGGAACATCTCACTCTCCCAGTGCAGAGGTTCCATGGCCACGAGCACCCAAATGTGGCCTCATTCTGCCCAGCAGGAAGAGTCCCATTGGGCTCTTCTCCAGCCACTCTTTCACCCCATGGTGGGGGTGACAGGGTGAGGAAGGACAGAGGAGCTTTCTCAGGTCTATCTGTCGCTTCATAGTTCAATACAGGCTTAGTTAAGACTCTCTTTGGGCATCACAACCCAACTGCAGGGCTGTTTCTGCTCTCAAGTCCCTGTGTCCAGCAGCCATGGTTTCGTCCTTGGTGCTGGCATGTTCTAGGGAGCTCAGGAAAGACCTGTGTTTCCTCCACCCATGCTGTGTCACCTGAACTGCTTGTGGCACCACTGCAAACACTGTTGGCTGGTCAGGGACTACCCCACCTCAGCCTGAGCCCACCCCCCAGGAGCCTCCTGCACATCCCAACCTATCTTGATGTACTTCCTGCCTGAACATACAGAGCATGGGACACACAGGTCACTGTGCTCACCAGCGCCAGTCCCAGTGTGTGCCACCCAGTCACCTCCCCTACATTCCCAGACCCAGTCAAGGGCTGCAGATTGTCCCCAAAGGCTGACCCAGCTGCAGTCCAGCTCACTGAGCTCCTTCCTCCAACGCAAAGCCCATGTCCCTCTGCCCCCATGGCACTTGTGCAGGTCCCGGCAGAGGACCAGCTCCATCCCCACAGACAGCTCGCCCTGCATCCCCATCAGCATCCTGACCCAGCAATGCCCCGAGTGCAAAGCACGGCCAGGTGCCTGGCGGAGCCCAGCCCAGCTCTGATCCCTGCTCGGGAGCCCCGAGTTCCAGCATTTGTGCCGCCAGCCCGACAGGCTGCCGAGGCAGCGCCCAGAGCTGCCGGGCTAATGAAAAATGCATGGGACCCACATCTGGTAGCGATTGAGCCGCAGCAGCGCCGGGAAGGGAGGAAGCGCAGACTTCTGCAGCACAAAGGAAGGGAGAGGAATGTCCGTGGCAGAGCAGAGGCCCTGGCCACCCCCTCCCTCCACCTTCACAGGGGTGCACAGGCACCAGATGGTGCTTGCTTCCTTGCTGGCACTGCTGGAGAGCGTCTCCGGGCATGTGCCTTCCTCTTCCCCGGCCTGAGCCTCTCTCAGCTGCCCAGCCAGCCCCCTTTCCACCCACAGGGATGCACAGGCACCCCACAGCCGCTGCCACAGCCATGGCCACGCACTGCCAGAGCCTCCTGCATGGCCTCCTCCCTCCAGCCTGCTGCTGCTCACGCTCCCCACAGCCAGACACCCCCAAAGCCCCTCGAAACACCCTTGGGCAGGGAGTGGAAGCCCAGTGAAGTCATGAGAGCAGCAAAGTAAAGGCAGAGACTGTCTGTACTGTGCCATGCCCGTGAGGCTGTGACACTGAAGGGGACAAGGCAGGTGGCATTTACATCCTTACCGGTGCAGGAAGCCGTGCCAGGGGAGGCAGCTGGTCTGGTCGTGTTTCAGGTGAAGCCTTGGTCACCATACCAGAGCATCAGTGGCTATCAATGGGATTTTGGGTTGTGCTGCTGGAGGTGTTCCACGGGACAGCAAAACCTGTGACAGAAGGTGACACATAGAAGGGAATATTTAACTGCCATCAAATCTTCATGGAGGAGTATGGCAAAGTGTTGGGCATGCTTTCATCCTGGTCCAGGCCATTGCCTCAGTTGACGCTGGGCAGCACAGCTCATAGCTTTTGTTTTAAAGGACCTTTTTTTCCCATTACCCAGCAGCTCAGCCTCTGGCTGCTCCAACACAGCAAAACCTCATGGTGGTTCCTGAGGAAATCATTCCATGGAGGTGTTGCTACCAGGCTGGGGGAAGGATGGGCAGGGGACAAGCTGGACAGATGAACACAGCAGGGTTAACTCCATAAAGTCTAAGTAGCCCAGGCATAGAGAGATCTGCAGCCAGCCCACCCAAAGCCTCTCCAGCACTTGGGATTTGGGGATCCTTGAACAGAAATCTGAGGCATTGAACTGGGGGAAAAAAAAGTAATTTCTTTTCAGGGATGTTTTCAGGATACTCCATTTTGCTAGAGATGCTCTGTGTTCTCTCTGACATTGCCAGTCCCCTTGAGCAGCAGTGCAGCTTCTGCAAGGCCTTGAAGTCCTATTAAATCCAGTCTTTCTAAAGCATTTTAACCCATTTCAATGAATCTTTCCTCTTACTAATTCAAGATAGGAACCTTTTCCTGTGCTCTGCTGCCGTGAATGCACAGCTCATCCTTCACTTCTCATCTCCCACAGCCCAGCACGCACGGGAAGGACCCATAACCATCCCTGCATGCAACAGTCCGTGTGTTTTTAGGGATTTGGAAGGCATCTGGGCAGTCATGCCCATCATCCTTCCCAAGGCATCCACAAACATTGCCCAGCATGGCCCTGGCGCAGTGTCCATAGGGGACGTTCCCCACTTCACAGGCTGGAATTACGCACACAGTGCAATCCCACCATGGCGGTGACGCACCACGTGTTTGGCCGTGGTTGAAACCAGCCTGTCACCCACTTTTGGCTCATGTACTCCAAAGCGGACACGTTACGTCGGAACGCCGCTGCTGAAGTGATGTAAAACCCGCTGAAGGGGGGACAGGCCCGACTCCCCCCGCCCGCCTGAGTCGCGGCCGCGGGGGAAGCCGGGAGGGGCGGGGGCGGGGCGATGGGCGTGGCCATCACAGCGGCTGGGCTGCGATTGGCTGTCTGTGGGGGCGGGGCTTGCGCAGGCCGGAGGGGCGAGCGCCTCGGGCGCGGGGCGGGGCGATGGAGGCGGTGCCGCGCATGCGCACACGGCGGCCGGCGGGCGAGCCGCGCGGCTCTGCGCAGGCGCGGCTGGCGGTGGGGCGGTGAGGGAACGATGGAGCTGCCGCGGCTCTGCGGGTTCGAGGCGGCCGAGCAGCAGCAGGAGGAGCAGCGGGAGGAGGTGCTGTCCCGGCAGCAGGAACGGCACTACCGGCTTCTGGCCGAGTTGCAGGCGCTTGTCAAGGCCCTGCCCAGGTGAGCGGAGCCCGAGGGGGACCGGGGGCCGCTGCTGGCCCGGCGCTGATCCGGTTTGTGCCCGCAGCGCCTGCCAGCAGCGCCTCTCGTACACGACATTGTCCGAGCTGGCGCTGGCGCTGCTGGACGGGACCGTGTTCGAGATCGTGCAGGGGCTGCTGGAGATCCAGCACCTGACCGAGAAGAACCTGTACAGCCAGCGGCGGCAGCTGCACAGCGAGCACCGCGGTACCGGGGCCACCGTGGGGGCAGTCCCGGGCCACTGCGGGCTGGAGAGGGGAGCGCTGCGGCCAGGGCCACAAGGGCGGCCCTGGAGCGCTGGAGGGGACAGAGGGTGTAACAGATGAGGAGAAATGGGGGTGGCACTCCAGGGAAGTGATGGGGACCCTGCGGGGGGACACGGGCCTGGGGTGACTCTGGGGTGGGGAGGAGGTTCGGTGGGTACTGAGGGTGGGGGACACCAGGGAGACAGTCTGGGGGGGAGTGGGAGCTTGGGGATGCCGCTGGGGGGGTGGGGGGTGACAGTGAGGAGGCAGATTGTGAGCGGAGGACACTGCGGTGACACTAGAGGGCACTGGGGGACCATGATGGGGACACTGGGGGCTGGGGATGACGCTGAGAGGGACAGGTTGGGGGGGCCTTGGAGGTGGCACAGGTTTGGGGCACTCTGGGGGTGGGTTGTGAGGGCATAAGGGAGATGTGGGGAATGACATTGCACGTTGTGGGGAGGAAGGGATGGCACTGGGGGCAGCTGCCAGCAGTGTGCTCTCCTGAACCCCCCGTACCCATGGCAGGGCTGAAGCAGGAGCTGTTCCATCGGCACAAGGAGGCTCAGCAGTGCTGCAGGCCCCACAACTTGCCACTGCTTCGTGCAGCCCAGCAGCACGAGATGGAGGTGAGAGGGGCTGGGCTGGAGATAAAGGTGGGGGGTGTGTTGCAGAGTTGTGTCCCTTCCCAGGGCTCTCACAACCCTCTGCGTTGCTGCAGGAGCTCTGCAGCTCTCCAGAGGGTTTGGCTATTCCTATCCTGCAGCCTCAGGAGACACCAGCTGTCCTGGCTGGCCTTGCTAGTACAGACTTAGGCTCCCCACCCCAGTCTAGAGGCCTCCTCCTCTTGCTCTAGCTTTTGTCCCCTCAAAGTAGGGGTGCAGATTAGGTGTGATCTGAGAATTGTAGAAGCGCAGGGGCCTGCTCCAAAGGCAATGCTCTCCACAGTACGTTAATGATCCATCATTATCTGATGGGCTGAAGCTTGTATAGGATAGGTGTACCTATCCTATGGGAGTACCACTGATAATGAGGAATCACCTCAAGTTTCATAATTACAGCAAGAGTTTGAGAGCATCCCAAGGCATTTCAAAAAGATTCAGTCCCAGAGGACTTTTCTGTCATCTCTTGGTGATAGAGGCAGTTTTGTAATGTAAGAAAATGGCAAGTAGCTGGTTATGTTAACGAGTGGAGTTGAAATATGGGGGTAAGCTACTTTGGTCCACATTAGGTGAATGAGAACAATTTCCTGCCTTGGCCCATGGCAAGCACCTTGCCATTGCTTGCTGTTGTTGGATTCTTTGGTGTTTCCACATTCCTCATTTCCTGTCTAAAGTGACTAGTCTAAGGTGACTAAAGCCAGGCTGGACCTCTGGTGCGTGTCCTTGTTGCTTCTGTCTCTAAGTAACTTAGACTTGCAGCAGTAATCTCTACTGCCTGTTTTAAATGCTTCCAGTATTTCATTAAATTGCCTAGATATGTCTCACTTCTCCTTGTCTTACGTGCTGTGCAACTTCCTCCTACCTGCCCTCTACCTTTCTTCTGTTTTTGCCTCCCAAGTGTTAATAGAGTCACTTATTCCTGTCTTTATCCTCTGACATTTCTGCTGTAGAGCATTCTGGGAACAGATTGATCATCTCTGTTATATCTGATATGTGTATAACTGGAGGTCCCCTCTGTGGTTAAAGATTTCCATGACCAGCTCCCATGAGTTAGCTTGGGATTGGTCTCCCAGGACAGGTAATACAAGGTGTATGTTTTAGATGTTTGGCTCCTCAGTGGAACCCATGGCATTTAGAAAAGCTTTGCCCATCATGCAGGGTCCGTGTCCACCAGGGCTGAAGTAAAACTTGTGTGTCTCAGATTTATCCAAGATATGGCACTTTTCTCTAACCTGGAATTAGATGCCAACACTAAGCAGTGTGAGGCACTTAAATTTGGGTTTTTTTTTTCAAGACCAAAGAAAGTCAGTCCTCCAGCATAGTAAGTAAAGGAGGCAATAGCACACTGAGATGGGTGGGAGGAAGGAAAATCTGAAGAATGAGGGATTTTAATCTGTTGTGTCTCCCACAAAGGGAGTGAACCCCTGGACTGAAGAAAGTGTGAAGACAGGGCTTGCTTAGGTTTTTTCCTCAGCATCCTTTGGTGAGGGAGCAGTCATCACTCTGCCTTGCCTTCTGTTGGGGCTGGAGTTGTCTTGAGTTTCTTCCCATTTCTTGCCATGAGATCATGCCCTGAATGCTTTCTCTGGAGCAGATTTTGTGTGGTCACCTTCTAGTGGATCCAAGTTCTTCATCCTCCTTAATTGCGGGTGGTTCTGTGAAGGTTTCTTACCGTGATGTGCTAATTGTGGGGTCTACATCCAGGAGGGGTTCCAAGAGGTAGCTCCTGCCCCATATGAGTGATAACTCTTTGTTAGGTCACACCTTTTCTGGAGACCCATGGGTACCCCTGCTGCAGACACGCCTCAGCCCTTCCCCAGGCTGTTCATGGCCAAGAATTCTGTCACACAAATTCTGAATTTTCACCAGCAATTGTGGCAGGGTGGAGGCATTCAGCTCCCCTCCAAGGCCATTTTAACCACCAGCCACTGGGGTTTGTGACTTCTGCCTTTCTGTGCAGTGGAAGTAGTTTAACCACATGGATGTTTCCAGCTGAACATGTGCCCGTTACAAAGGGGCAGCATTACATGAATGAAATGTTGAAACTTGTGGCTTTTCACAGAATCACAGGAGTTAGAAGAAACCTACAAGGGCCATCCAGTGCAGCTCCTGTCCTTGCACAGACACCCCAACAATCCCACCCTGGGCATCCCTGAGAATGTTGTCCAAACACTTCTGGAGCTCTGGCAGCCTCTGGGGCTGTGCCCATTCCCTGGGGAGCATTCCCCCGACACCCTCTGGGGGAAGAACTTTTCCCTGATATCCAGCCTAACCCTCCCTGACACAACTTCAAGTCATTCCCACAGGTCCTATCACTAATCACCACAAAGAACAGATCACTGTCTGCTCCTCCTCTTCCCCTTTCAAGGAAGTTTTAACTTCAGTGAGTTTCCCCTCAGTCTCCTCTTCTCCAACTGAACAGACCATCTGTTTCTCATATGGTTTCCTCTCAAAGCCTTTCACCATGTTTGTTGCCTTCCTTTCGATGCTCTCTAATGGTTTATTTATTTCCTACTTCTTGCAGGAGAAGCACAGAATCATGGAATGGTTTGGGTTGGAAGGGACCTTGCAGTTCATCCAGTTCCACATCCTGCCATGGGCAGGGACACCTTCCACTGTCCAAGGTTGCTCCAACCCCCATCCAACCTGGTCTTGGACACTTCAGGGGATGGGGTAGCCACAGCTGCTCTGAGCAACCTTTGTCAGTGTGTCACCATCTTCACAGGGAAGAATTCCTTCTTAATATCTAATCTAATTCTGCCCTCTCCATTTGAAGGCATTCCCCCTTGTTGTGTCACTCTATTCTTTGTCCCAAGTCCTTTGCGAGCTCTCTTGGAGCCCCTTTAGGCACTGGAAGGGGCTCTAAGGTCACACAGAGGCTTCAGTCCTTGGAGCATCTCCTTGCCCTCCTCTGGACTGGCTCAACAGCTCCAGGTCCTTCCTGTGCTCAGCCCCCAGAGCTGGAGGCAGCTCTGCAGGTGGGGGTCTCACCTGAGGAGGGCAGAGGGGCAGAATCTGCCTCTTCACTCTGCTGCCCACCCTACAAAAGTGAGCCTGTCATTGTTTTTTTGAGGGGGTTTGATGATTCCTGGTGTTCCCTGTGCCTTGCAAAGGGAGTCTGCTGTTCAGTGCAGCCTGGTGAGGTTGTATCACCTCTGTACACATGGGGCTCTTCACTTGATCTGTTCTCTGCTTGTCCCCTGCAATCCTCCTCTCTGCTTCCAGTCCTGATTTAGCATGCCGTTGTTTGCTGGGCTCCATTGTTCTCTGGAGGCAGCACAGAAACTCTCTGCTGAAGTTTGAGCAGATGTTGGTGAGGCAGGAGTGGCCATGACCTCCTGGTTGGAGCTATTCTGGCAGAGTCCTTCTTTCATAATGTTCTCAGTCTGTCAAAAATAGAGTCTAGCATTCAGATTATTTCATAAATAAATGGGATCTGTATAGGGTTTACAGCTTCAGTTCCATATTAGTGTTCAGGGAGCCATCTTGATGAGCTTCAGTGGCTTAGGTTATTCCTCTTAGGATTCCTTCAGCCTCACATGAGAGGGTCACATAGTTCTTGGGCTGAGCTCAGCCATAGCTCAGGTGGTGACTCATCAGGGAGAGTGATTCAGACACTGATCAGTTCCTCGTGGTCTTTCCTGGCCTCCAAACACTCAGAGAGCAGGTTGTTCCCATTACTTCCCTGCATTTTCTTGAGTGGCAGCTTTGCAGG